GCACACGAAGCATGGCTTGTAGACCCGAGGATTTTTTGGGGGGGAGGGTGAGCTGGGCACCATCTCCTCAGAGCTAGTGCTCTGCGTCTCCACCGCTGGGGGGAGGAGGGGGAGTAGTATATGAGGGTTGGGAGAGAACCCCTCAGACCTCCAGGTATCCTCATCATGCACACATACCCATTCCCACTTCCCCTGCTCAGCAGAGACACCACCATCACCACCATAGTGATTTGAAGTCCCAACAACTGTGTACAGCCCCATAGTAAACACTTCCAGAAAACCCCAAATAACCACTATTACTGCCCCTCCCCCAATCTGGCCATCCCCCCCCCCCCCCAATAATGCCAGCCAGGGACTTACATAACACTGTTCCATTCTCTAAATTCCAGGCCAAGGCCATCCTGGAAGTTAACTTCTATGGGCCTCTGTTTCCCTAGCTATAAAGTGGGTAGATGGAGGGGTTATGGCCCATGGCTCTGAACTCTTCAGTCACTCCCTGTCACATCAATTGATCCTTCTCAGGTAATCTACCTCTCACCATCCTCCTCCTCACGAGGCAACAGATCTGGGGGTGGTAGGCAATTACAAGTCACCTATAACAGCACCTGGCTAAATGACCTGTTAGGATACTCAGTAGGTAGAATAGGACTTAATTTCCTTTCAAGTAGTACAAGGCAGATAATTCTCAAGCTTTTCCCTCTCATACTGCCCACCCAGTAATTGCCAATGTCCTTTTCACCAGAAACCACTGAGACAGTGGAGCAAATGAGACACCGGTTTTAGGAAAGTAGGTTAGAGGCTATGCAATAACCTTACGTTACACCTGAAGGAACTGAGGCCAACAGAGGGGAGTGACCAGCCCACTGCCACACTGCCAGTGGACAGTGGGGCCAAGGCTCTCAGGTCTTCTGACAAGCTCTGAGTGGCCTGGCTGAGAGTCAGAGGCTGGAAGGAGAGACTGAGGTATTTGCTTAGATTCTCAGGTCTAGAAGCTGCTGGGAATGTAGCAAACTAGAGAAGTCAGGTGACGCTGGGTAAACAGGGCTGATGGGGGAGGGGAGCTATATCTGGATCCTCTCTGAGCCTATGTTCTCACTCCTAAACTTCCCCACAAATGCCCAATCGAAGCTCAAAAGGGGTCTCAGCCCACACCACACAGAGTGTGTGGGGAGAACACCCTCTGTTCAGCAGGCTGCTAAGTAAACCTTTTTTTTTGGGTGTGTGGTTGATATTCAGAGACTGGAAAAATCTGTAAGTTATTCAACCTGTAGGACTTGTTGCCCAAAGCTGGAGGGCTCAAGCGATGCCAGAAAACCCTAAGACCCTCCCTAAGGAGTATTCCATGCACCCACCTCATGAACACCTTCCTTCTTCTGACCCGATGCAGCCCACCTGGTCAGATGTCCACCCCATGCCCCAGAAGGGCAAAAGGAATGCCCAGGATGCTGGTCTGGGTAGCTCCACCCACCCCACAGGAGGGAAGCCCTTCCGCCCCCCAACACACAGACACTCAATTAACATAAGAATCCTGCTGGAGGGAGAGTCCCCAAAGAAAAAGGAGAGAGGGGGGGGGGAAGAAGGGTGATTGGAGTCTATTCAGATTGGAGGGCGGGAGACTCCAGGAGGGGTTGGGCTGAGAGATGTGGGATGGGCTGGAATGCCTTTCAGGACCCCTCTGTTGTCCTCTGTGGGTACCGGTGCTGCCACAGGCCACTGTGTGGAGTGGTGCTGACTGCTGACACCCTCCCAGCCCGCAGAGCGCTGCCTCATTTCCTCTCTTGTGAAAGGGCCTGGGTGTGGTCGGACTGGCACGGGGCAGTGCCAGCCAATTATAAGACTGGGGGCTCCAGGGAGACACCCAGGGGCAGCTTTTCCTGTCTATGTGGCACTGTCAACCCTTTTCGGCACCCCTCTGGCACAGAACACCCCCTAAAACCTAAAGTGGGCGAAGAGCACAGAACAGTGAATTGGGTCAACTCTGCTCAGATCCCCTACCCAGCCAGGGCTGAGCCCCCACCACCGGGATGCAGCTCCTTGGCTAGGCTGGGGCCCCTGCTGGGGAGGAGGGGGGTGGGCTCTGGGTTTTTCTCCTTTTAAAGCCCAAATTGCTGAAATTGAGGAAATTCCTGGCCAGGCTGAGCAGAGCTTCAAACAAACTCTTTATAACCGGCTGTAAACGCTCCCAGCTGCGAGGCCCAGGGCTGAGAAGCCCGAACTCACAATCTGCCACATACCTCCTTGGACACACACACACACACACTCACACGTCAACAACACACGGGGCACTGAAGCAGGCATATTACTAGTGGGCTCCTACACCACCACTGGACCCTGGCACAGAACACAGGCGGCATTAGGGCACACTGGCTCCAGCGACCCTGTGGAGGTGGACGTACAAGTCATAAAGCGGACACACAACTCCCAGTGCTCCACTTCACATTTGCAAGGGAGAAGCTCTGCTACCAGACAAACACCCAGGCCTGCCAACGCAGCACCAGGACATTGAAGCTGCCAAACATGCACAAACAAACCACGCGGCCCTCCCCTCAAAGGACCTCTTTCCTTCCCTGGTTTAGACATCCAGGTTTAAATGACTTTCTCTCTGAAAGTGTATGGATCAGGCATGAAGCCCACCAGGATCCTAGAGGCCAAAATTATTGGTCCAAATTGAAATGCTAAAACATACTGCCAGCCAAATGCAAGGGGCCTCCGTGGGCCTGAAAAGAACCGGGGTTCCTGCCCCGCCTCCACAAAAACCCTTCCTAGATTTTCTCAACCTCAACACCCCTCCCAACATATCCCAAACCTGCATCCCATAGGGCAACAAGAAGAAGGTAAGAATTCACAAGGATTTGGTGCAAAGCAATAGTTTCATGCTTTCTCCGAGCCCTTTAAATGCCACACTTTTAATTCTTGCCCCTCCCCACCCCAAAGTACAGTCTCCTGTTTGCCACCTCCCTCTTCCAGTCTCCCGGTTGTTAAATCTGAGCAGCTCTGCCCTGAAACCAAAAGACCAAAAAAAAAAAAAAAGCCGAACTCGTAAACAGCGCTGCGGAGTGCCAAGGAGCGAGGCGTGTTGGCGGGGCTCGGTGACCCCGCAGGCGCACTCCCCCAGCGCCCGCCCGACCGCCCCTTCCCAGCGTGCCCCAAAGCCTCGTCCCCCAGCGTCCGCACCCGGCTACAAGCGCGGTCCCAGCCCCTGGTAAATTTGGGGGGGAGGGGGTTCCAGGCTCCCCTCCCGGCTCCTCCCCACACCCCACCCCCGCCAGGCACTTGGGCCCAGGCTTCAAAGCCGCCTCTCATCTGGACTTCATTTTTACTGCCTCTCAGTCCCCAGCTTTTTATTACCGCTCTGGAAGGGGGTTCCAGGGCCCCAGGCCTGGCATCTCCCATTTCACAGAGAAGGAAAATGGGTATTTGGGGACCCAATAGTCGTACTCCACCCCCCACCTCGGCCTTTGCCACCTCCAGTCCAGCCCCGACCCCCATACACAGACTTTGCTTTAAACTTTCCGCTTCCTACTGAAGTTGTGTGTGTGGTAGCCAAAGGAAAAGTCATCTCTCTGCACACAACCCTAGACACATTTCCAAACACGTCTTTTTAAAATGGGGGAGGGGAGCGCCAGCGCCCAGCCTGCCTTCGCCTGGCTGTGTGCACCACCCCTTCCACCCTGCACCGAGCACACACAGGATGCACACTCGAACACAGCGCTTTCCAAAGCCGCCCTCGCAGCCACGCCATGGCACACGCCCTCCCGGTCTCACGCCACAAACAGCCCCAGACAGGGCCATGCGGACCTGCCAAGGCTGTCGGAGGGCGACGCTGCGTGGAGACTCTCTCACCCACACCTACACCGCCTAGGCAAGGAGCTGCACACTTTGGAGATGCGCACGCTCTGCAAATAATTTTTTTTTTACACCCAACTTCCCAAATGGACTTTACAAACGCGACCCACGGTCCTGAGTGCCATATCCCTCCAGGGCCACGGACCTGCGGGCACAAACTACCAACACACCTCGGTCTCTCCCTACCCCCAGGAACTGTGGAGTGACATCAACCCCAGGTCCTAGCTGAACACCCACCATAAAAACCACGCACATTCAAATACGACAGCACACACCCAACGGAGTCGCGGAGGCCCCCACGTTTAAAGGGCCAGTACCTCTCTTTCCTGCACACCCACCCGTCTCAGAGTCTCCGCTCGCACCCCAGTTCCACCTTTTACACATGGAAAGAGTAAGCCGCTCTCTCTCCTGCACTCCACCCCCGACCCCCGGGCTCGGGTACCTACATTGCAGACTGGCGGGTTGCGGCCAGGCAAAGGACTCGAGTCCGGCGAAACAGGAGCTGCCCGTGGCTCTGCGCAGCAAGCCGGCCCCGGGCCCGACAGCCCCGTACAGCCGTCGCGGACCCGGGGCAAATGTTTCCAGGCAGTCGTACATCGCGACCCGGCTTGGGGGGAAGCTGGGTGATAGGAACACCAAGGACTCGCAGCCGATTCCCCCTCCTCCCCCAGCGGCGCCCAGCTCCTGGAGGGGGGGAGGGGGAGGGCTAGCATAGGGCGCCGGGCTGCATGGGGGGTATGGGGTGGGCGGGGAGGAAGGGGGATCCCCAGCTGGGAAAGGGACTGGGCGGGGCGCAGCGCCGAGGCTGCCGCTAGAGCAGCGGTCCGGCTCACTCTGAGCGTCCGGGCGGCTAGCGCTGGGGAGACCTTTTGTAAAAGCGAAGCCTGGAGGGGTGGGAGGTGGGGCTTGGAGAGCGAAGGGGGCCGGGCACTAAGATGAGCAGAACTGAGAGTGGAGCGCACACACATATAACACACCCGCACCGCGGCGCCCTAGCTTGCTTAGACATACAGCTGTGCATGCATTTATCTTGGCAGGCACCACGATTTGCAAATATGCAAGAGTGCACATTCATATCTGCCGGCACATAAGATCATAGTTGCACACACGTTTGTGCAAGCACACCTGGCTTGCAAGCATTCTCTACACAGGGAGGCTTTGCACGCCTTTGCATTTAGGCGCGTGCCCTGGTCGTGGGTAGGGGAAGGAGTGGAGGAACCAAGCATACGCAGTTCCTTTCGAGCTTCCCCCCTCCCCCAACACTCCCTTTTTCACACAAGTCAATACAGGCAGGAGTGTCAAGAATGACTGGGAAGTCTGGAACATGGAGGCTCCCGGCGCCCGGCAATTCTCCGGAGCCCGGGGACCTGCACTACCTCCACCCTCTGGTTCCCAGGCCTGGCTCCACCCTCCCCCCCCGCCCCCCCGCCCCGCGCGCGCGCGCGCGCGCGCTGCAGTGCCAAACAGTACATTCCTGCGGCTCAGATTTGCACGGGCGCCTCCTTCCTTCCCATGCTCCTCGCCCCCGGTCGAATGGGCTCGAGCGCTCTCCCGCAGTGAACTCTTCCGAGAACCCCCCTCGTGGGAGGATGGACGGG